GAATGGAGCGGCCTAGAGAAAGGTTTTCTCTGTCCCTTAGGGAAAGCTGGTGGCCGACGTGGCCAAGCGTCTGGGGGTGAGGCACGTGGTGTTCAGCGGCCTGGAGAACGTGGGGCGGCTGACGGGCGGCAAGGTGGAGGTGCTGCACTTCGACGGGAAGGGCGAGGTGGAGGAGTATTTCTGGTCCATCGGCGTCCCCATGACCAGCGTGCGCGTGGCAGCTTACTTCGAGAACTTTCTCTCTTTCTTTAAGCCAGCGAAGGCCCCTGCTGGCGATCACTACACCTTGGGTAAGTGGACGGTGCGGTGGTACACCCACTGGGCAGTCACGCTACACAGGGAGAAGACTGGGTCTCGCTGGCAGCACCAGGTCCCCGCAGTCTCACTCACAGCCCCTGTTGTTGGGCAGTTAGCTGTGAGCACAAGCCTCGATTCCTCACGTCTGGGGGAAAGCTGGGCAGCTATCCTCGAAGGACCCTTCTAGTGTGTCCATGTGAGCTGTGGCAACAGCAGAGGTGTGTGTCCTCCTCCTGACCTTGGGGCCACAGCAAGGCTTACAGCCTCAAAGGACCGAGACCCTGTGCCCTCCACCCAGGGGCCGGCTGTCAGGACCTGTCCACTGAGAATCTGATTCCGCAGGTTTGGACTGAGGTCTGAAAGCCTAGCTTTAACAGGATTCCTGGTCTTCCAGTGCTGCCAGGCCACTAGCTGGGGACGGTATCTGGCCAGTCAGAAGTGGCCTCTGTGGAGTGGAGGCACGCATGCACATGTGCCCGGCGTGTTTTAAGCCACCGGGTCCGGGACTTGAACTGCGGTCGACTACGTGGGAGTCCAGCGACATAGCCATTACGCTAACTGCTGGTTCCCTAGACTTGGCTTCTTCATGTGGAATATTAGAGCATGGGGTAGACCATTTCTACATTGGGCTCTAGCCTCAGGACTCTAGGGATCCATGCCAGTCTATATCTCAGGGTAGGAAGGGCACAGACTTTGGAGAGAAGGATGAGGGTTTGAGTCTGTTTGTACTGCTCGGTGGCTGAGTAACGAGTACTCTGGACAGGGACCTGACAATTCTTACATGGTTCGCAGATGGTCAGAGTTTAAACTTGTACATGTGTTTGTTCACTCACCCACGCACTAAATCTAGAGTGGCTTTCTACGTGCCAGTCACTCCCTAGGGAATCGGGTGAACACAGACCGAGCTCCGCCCTCGCTGTCTTAGCCCGTTGGGCGTGGCTGTAGCTCCCCAGCCCGGGTAATTCATAAAGCAGACAGGTCAGTTTCTCACAGTCCTGGGGCTGGGAAGTCCAAGGCTGAGGGGCCACACTTGGTGAGGGTCTTCTTGCCGCACCATCCCCTAGTAGAGGGTCGAAGGTCAAGAGAACACTCAGGACAGCCCAAGAGGGAAGGGCTGACCTCGTCCCTTTGGGAGAGCCTCTCCCTGGGTGAGCAGCTCGCTCTGAGACGGGGCCCCGGCCCGTTCCTGGGGCAGGCTTCCCTCTCCAGGCAGCTCTCGGCTCCTGCCCTCAGCACTGGTGCACCGGGACTGAGTTTCCAGCACACGCCCCGTGGGGCCACGTTCAGGTCACTGCAGCCATGGGGGAGTCCAGTGACACAGCTGCTATGCCATCTGCTGGCCCATGGCTGCTCTTTTTAATCAATACCCAGACACTATGGTATTTTCTCCAAGCTGTGAAAGTGTGTATAGATTGTGGCTACTCCGTTTTACATTGTTTTCCCACACCTTTAGTTTAAATGGTTTTTAATTCAAGTTTGTCTCACGTGTCAAGAATGTGTTGTAACCAGCAAGTTTTGTCTTTCTTTTATTAAAAACCAGCACTGCCCATGGGGGACGTTCCGATGGATGGAATCTCTGTTGCTGATATTGGTCCAGCCATCTGCAGCATTTTCCAGTCTCCAGAGGAGTTTCTAGGCAAGGCCGTGGGCCTCAGTGCAGAAGCTCTGACGGTTCAACAGTACGCTGAGGTTTTGTCCAAGAGTTTGGGGAAGGACGTCCGAGACGCAAAGGTGAGTTCTTAGAGACATCAATGTGATCACAGGAAGCCACCGTGGTTATATTCCACTAAGTGATCAATCCTGGTAGACGTAAAAAACAATCATTTATTTAATTTTACTTATTATTCTCTAATTTGACTAGAGAAAGTCAGAGGGGGCGGGGAGTGAGAAGGCAAGCTGCTGGGTCCAGGACTTGCACCATCGTCAGCCATGTGGGGTCTAGCCCCTTAACCACCACCCCACCTGCTGGCCCCTAGTTCTGGTAGACTTTTGGGGGATGTAGGGAGGGTGGAGCCCAGATGTCATAGAGACTGAAGAGACTCCAGTCCCACAAACCCACCTTCATTGCTGATGCAGTCGAATCCTTCCCGTATGGCCTTCTTTCTTTGGCTTAAGGTTAATCAGCTTGTTAAAGGAAAATTACTTTTGGGTAGAAAGAAACTAGTATCTGAAAATAGAGATACAGCTCATGTTTTCTTTTTAGTTGTCAGAGGGCACATGCATGCACGAGAGACAGTGGGAGAGAGAGCGTGCATGGGCGTGCACCCCAGTGGGCATGCTCGCACTGCAATCATTGGTTCGCCATGCCTCTATCCCCTCAGGACCTGGGGAGGCGTGTGCTTTGGGCCCTGCAATGGCGTTTGAACTGTGTTCTGCCGTGGGGGATCTTGCTCCCACACAGGCTTAACCTCTGTGCTGCAGGGAAGGCCTGAGCTACACCTTTTCCTCTCACAAGTTCTTACTGCCTTTCTGTCTTATGCTCCGATCGCTGGCGCTGACTGAGGTGGTTAAGGCACTGGCCTCTCGGAGCCTCTGCCTCCTTGCTGTGCCGTGTGGGTGACAGCACGGCTCTCCTTGTGTTCTTGTGAAAATGACAGGGGTGTATTTACAGGGCCTGCCACAGTGGCCCAAGAAGGGGGACATTTAGTCCCTGGCTGGTACCTGGTGCTGTCTTCAAGGAGTTCCAGCACTGGGGTCAAATGTGGGTGCACGAAGGCACAGGGATCCTTACGAGCAAAAGCCTGTCGGTGCTGAACGGTGTTATCTGCACAGAGATGGCCAGAGAAGGGCTTGAGACTTCTTCATGGAAGAAGGGGGTCTGAGGAGGTCCTAGAGGGTGCAGGTTGTGAGGAGGCACAGCCTCTTCTATACCGAACATCCTCAACCAGAGGCAGCCGGGGAAGTAGACTGTCTACCTGTGTGTGGGGGCTTGGCAACTTAACCTCTCAGGCTCGGTCTCCTGTGTCAGAGGTGTCATAGGGCTGCTGTAAGCGTGGAATGGGACACGCGTGGCAGGTGCTTGGCGCAGAGTCTGGCACCTGGTAGGCCTTCAGTCCCTGGTCGTGCGGTGAACCACGCAGGGGTGTGGCCTGGATGACGGGGCCAGGACAGACCTTTTACAGAAGGTGGGAAGGACAGGATCCGGAGCATGGCCAGCCATTGCCCCAGCAGGTGTCAATAGGAGGGAAAAGGAAAACCAAACAGGCTGTTCTCACGATACGATTACAGGTCTGAGTGGAAGCGACAGGGACCACGTGGCCCTGAAGCCTGGAGTATTCCATCTCGATCTCAGGAGTGCAGTCTGACAGCCTGGTCTGGAATGTTCCCTGGAAGCAGGGTTGGGCTGGAGGTGCTCGTCTGCGTCAGTAGCTCTCGGTCCAGTGGGTCTTGGCTGTGTGTCTGGAGTCCTAGTCGGCCTCAGGTGCTGGAGTTGAGAGGAGGCTAAGAGACTCCCCCCCCCCCAAAAAAAAAAAAAATTTCTGTAAATGTCATTTTAGCCACAAAACCAAACCCAGGCATCTATCACTAAACCACACACAGGTATGTGGACGAGACGAGTTACCCGAAGCCTCCCATTCAGAAACGGGCTCTCAAGCGCACCTGCGGGCTTTTTTAATTTTTTTGAATCTCCCACATTGATGTTTATTACATTAATAACATTAGTGGCAAAAACAAGTAACAAGTTCAGTAACTGAATTAACATTGACAGGTTTCATTTTGATCCATTAGCCAATTTGGGAAAAAGCCGTATTAATCAAAGGGATTAAATTAAGAAACACCTTTTTCTTGCTCATATAATCTTTAAAACTCCAAGCAGATTTCAGATGTAAAATCTAACTGCAGGGTTTTCAAATGGACCATACTATGGACTTGTCTCTTCAACATTTTAAAAATTAGCCATTTACACAGTTACTTAAAAATCATACGCTCTATCAGGCAGGGAGCTGAAAATACATCTGTGAGAATCATACTCCACAGCAAATACCCATGTACTTAAACCGAATTCTCGGGTCACTGAGAACCTTAAACCTACTCTAAGATGCCTTGCAATAACTTACAACTACCACTTTTTGAAAATTTCTTTTTGGTATTTTGGTCAAGTGCCAAGGGGATTTTATTTTAAAACCTCAAGCTAGAATTTAACACTCCCGGGCCCAGGAGTAACACGATTATGAATATTCAAAAATCCAGATACTTCTTAGATCGTCAACATTTCAGAGCTAAGCCTGATAAATGACATTTGAAGAAGAACTAATCCAGAATTAGGTGAATTTTTTTTTAATTTATTTTTTTATTTGGAGAGGTTTTTCACTATAGGGCACGTGCGCTCGCCAGACAGACAGAGAGAGAGACAGAGAGACAGAAAGCGAGAAATCACCCCCCAGGGGGGATGGTCACGCCACAATCCCTTCTCCTCCATTCTCCTCTCGGGATCTTAGGCACACACGCACATGCGCCCGGCATGAGTTTTAAACCACCGGGTCTGGGACATGAACCGTGGTCGACTACGTGGGAGTCCAGTGACATAGCCATTACGCTAACTGCTGGTTCCCAAGAATTAGGTGAATTTATACTCCTGAAGCCACCTAAACTCACCTTTAGGCTTTATATTTACAGTGTTGTCCAGCAAAAATTAAAGAAAAAAGTCACACTAATTATTTTCAAGTTCTATTCCAGCTGCCTGTTTATTAAGACTTGCAGTTTATGCCGAGGTGAAGTACTGTCCTCTAAAACCACACTATGCTGCTTCTTGTAGAGCTAAAGTTAAACACAGCAACCCAAATCTTACGAAGGCAGCACACCTTTAGCAGTTAGCTAGTATATGAAAGTATCAACATCAGTGGTTCGAATATAAAAATTTATTGTAAGTCAAAGTATGCAACAAATAGAACCTACAGAAAACAGATCTTCCCACCACGATCTGTTGCTTCACCAAATAATATTTTGAAAACCCATTCCTTCAGTCATTATAAAGTTCTTAAAATACAAAAGAAATTAAATCTGTAAGAAAGTCTAGTCGACCAGATGCTGTTGTTGGGACACGTATGTTGGTATTTATGCTTTCAGTACATCCCACGCCACCCACCTCCACTCGTGCCACCTTGACCACAGGAACCTCCACTGCCTCCACCACCACGGCCATAACCACCCAAGCCATCGGGAGTACCATGTCCTCCCCTGTAATTGTTCCCCATTCCCATTCTTCCAAAGATCCATAACCTCCCTGATTATCCATTCCATCTCTGCCATAGCCTCCCATTCCAGAGCCTCCCATTCCAGAGCCTCCTCCAGGAGTAGAATTTAAGAAGAGTTCAATGTATTGATGTTGCAAATTATTTTTATCTTTAGACATGGGAGCTGCTGCATCTTCATGTGTCCCAAACTCTACATCTGCTTCTCCTGTTGCTCTGCCATCAGCTCCAATGTCAATATGAACTCGTATTTGCACCTGCAGGCTTCTCATACTTGGGTGCAGATTTAGTTCTCAGTGATCTTTCTCCTAGGGCACTATCATTTGGGTCTTTTTTAAAAAAATAATGATTTGTTTAATTAATTAATTATTTGGAGAGATTTTTGCTATATGGTGTGTGTGCTCGCCAGAAAGACAGAGAGACAGAAAGGAAGAAATCACCCCTCAGGGGGAATGGCCACACCACAATCCCGTCCCCTCCATCCTCCTCTCGGGATCCTGGGCACGCACGCACACGCACCCAGCGTTGAGTTTAAGCTGCTGGATACGGGACTCGAACTGTGGTCGACTACATGAGAGTCCAGTGACATAGCCATTACGCTAACTGCTGGTCCCTATTATTATTATTTTTAACAATTTGCTATAAGGCACATGTGTTCACCAGAGATAGAGCAGGGGAGAGAGGGAAAATGAGAAAGCAAGCTGCCAGTCTGGGATACTTTTACTGCTGTTGGCCATGTGGGAGTCCAGTGCCCTAACTACTATGCTACCTGCTGGCCCCTGCATTTGGGTCTTAAATTCATTTTGTCTTGTGGCTTTTATCCTTTTTTTTTTTTGTTAATTAAAGTTTATTTATTCCATGAGATAGAGAAAAAGAGAGAGAGAGAGAGAGAGAAATAGACAGTCCCAGTAGTGTCCTCGTGGCTCAGTTCTACCCCAGCCTCAGCCAGACAGAATAGTGGCAGGATAAGGAGACCTCAGGATCCCTCTGTACGGCCTCAGCACCCCAGAGAGAGCTGCACTATTGCAGGTTCTAGGACAGGCCTGTCCTGAGAGGTTTGTATTCTGTTAAGGAAGAGGGAGAGAAGGAGGGTGTGCATGTGTGTGTGTGTGTGTGTGTGTGTGTGCGTGTGTGTGTGTGTGTGTGTGTGTGTGTGTGTGTGTGCACGCTCTCAGAGGACAGAGTAGACCGTTCCGGACGACTCACGACTTTCCAGGCATCTCTGTAACATACCTGGTCCCTGACTATTCCTGCTATACCAAGTGATTTCCTCAAGCAGCTGAAGCTTCTGTGGCACAGGTTCCAGAGGTCGGGGCTGCACGGTCTGCAGAAGGGTGGACGCTGTTCTTAGTAA